GAGAGCTGCTCCACGCCCCGGCACGTGGCAGCTCACCCACCGTCAGCCTGCGCCCACCAGCACTGCAAAAACGGCTGTGGCCATGCACGACTACAACGCTAACAAGCCGCTCGGCCCTGCCTCTCCCGTCCGACCCTCTCTCGAGGCAGAGCAGGAGCGCACTGCACAGGCGTCAGGACAGGGCACATGGGGACTGCCCGTCCCTGCCCTGCTGAGCAGGCACTCGGCACCCCTCTGTCCATCCGGAGCCCAGCTCACTAGGCTTCCCGCCTGGCGGGACACGTGAACGTGACTGCTGTTTGAGGGGATGGGAGCCCCCTCTGTCCCACGCAGAGCCACCAGCAGTCACGAAACCCATCTTGCAGCTGCCCGGGACAGCACCAGGAGAGAGAAACCAGCGCCGGGGCCTGACGTTTCCCAGAAGAGCAGCCACAGAGAAGGTAGAAGATCTGGGACGATGCCTAGCCCTCGCAGTCACCAGTCGCTGCCAATGAGCAACCCAGACAGCAGGACAGGCATGACCAGGGGAGTCCTACGAGACAAAGGTGTCCTTGGCTCCTGATTCAGACTCAGGCCAGAGCCAATCTGACCTGCTGCTGCTCAGACAGCAGGGAGCCCCACAGGGCAAGGATGATGCCTGAGCACGCAGCCCTACAGAACAACGGGGTTTATTACTACAACATCCTAGGAAAGTAACATACACAGTTTTTGTGGCTGGAGCAACTTGTTCTGCTCTTAGGTGCCAAATTTCTTCTGTTGGATGGGTGGTGGCAGCTGGGTCTTGATGTCCATGAGGGGCCGCTCCACCATCACAAGGCAGTTCTCATCCAGCAGATCCGCAAAGAGCAGGGGCTGCAGGGCAGGGAGGGGACAGGAGATGACAGCCCTGCCAGGGACAGGGCAATGTCTCTCCTTGCCCTGCCTCAGCTTGCTGGGTTCGACCACGTACGTGGAGCTGGCTGCAAGGCAGCTCTGGCTTAACCTTAACCAGGGACATCGCTTAAGGGATGTGCTCTGCAGAGAGCTGCTGGGGAAAAATCAGAGCCCGCGAGATGGACAGCAAGCGGCTGCACCGTGATGGGGACATAGAGACTCAGAGCTGCTGGGGCACTGAGAGCACATACGACACCAGCAGAGTTGAGGAACAACTCAGGAAGGCTACGCTCAGACCATGCCAGGACAGCAGGCATCTTGCTCCAGAAACAGCAAAGGAGGGAGCCTGTGGCAGGATCACCTCTGCACCTGTGGCTCCTTCCAGCTAGCGGGGCATCCTGACAGCATCGCAGCAGCCTCCTTGCTCCCCTGGGCAGACCACAGGTCCAGGGCACCCCCTTCCTCAACACCACCCCTCCTCAGAGACAGCACATGCACAGCAACACCCACCTGGAACTTCTTGCAGATCTTGAAAGCGTGGAGTTGTCTCTTCCTAGCTGTCTCTGGGAGCTGCTTCAGGGTGCTCTGATTCATCAGAGAGGCACTGTCGTCAGGCAGGGGCTGCAAGGACAGCACACAGCACATGTCAACGCTGCCCGGGAGTCACCACCGCCTCCTGCTGCCCCTGTTCTGAGCCACGCACAGGTTCCGGCTCCTGCTCATGGCAGGAGCAAGAACAGCCACTCTAATGGGTCCCAGGCTTCATCAGGGAGATATCCTGGGAACAAGCCCAGATCTCTTCACGGCACAGACACACGATGTCCCCTTCATTCCCCACCAACAGCCTGGCACACCCCATGCCCTCCCTTCCCTGAGCAGTACCAGCCAAGCACTACACCACGTTGGCCGGCAGAACAGCGCCTGGCAAGTGGCACACGGTGGGCACGGCTGGCCCAGTGCTCTGCACTGTAAGGACAGCGGAGCTGGAGAGGGCTGCAGCGGCATCCCCTTCTCCTCTCTTCCCTGGGCGAGCCTTAGGCTGGACTCACCAGGGACTTGTCGAGGACGCAGAACATGTAGACGTCGTGGAGCAGGATGTGCGAGGGCTTCTTGGGGTTGAAGGCGATGTGGGTGATGGGCGAGTCCCTCTCCAGCCAGGCCTTGTGCAGCCCGCAGTTCTGCACCGTGCGGCTCCAGGCCGTGTACTGCTTCTCGGGGATGCCGAACTCAAACAGCTGCAGAGGCAGGAGAGGGGAGATGGAGCGGCCCAGCGATCGCCAGCCCTGCAGCTCCGTTCTAACACTGCTGGCTGGGGATGCGACAGGAGGGAACAGAGGTCCCCTACACCAGCCTGGGCCAGGTTCACTCACTCCCCTGG